CTAGGGGTTTTGGGGTGTATGTACAGGTGCTGCTGAATCTGATTTCGTGGATTCTTGCATTTCATGTTCGTTACTTTTCTGCTTCCAATGTTTTGCGGCAGCGGGTGCGGGCGCAGCAGCAGCAGCAGCGGCAGCAGCAGCAGCAGCAGCAGCAGCAGCAGCAGCAGCAGGAAGACGACCTGGCCGCGTGGCAGCGGCGCTGGGCGGAGCAGATCGACCAGTCGCAGTCCGAGCAGCAGCAGCAGCAGCAGCAGCAGCAGCAGCAGCAGCAGCAGCAGCAGGAGGTGCAGCTTTTGGACCGGGTGGACATGATATTTTGCATGCAAGGGTTTGACACTCTTTTGATTCATGAATTCATTTTGGAGTGTCTGCAGCAAAGTGTGCGGGAGCAGCAGCTGCGGCAGCGCAGCGCAGCACTTTGTGCTGCTGCGCTGCGGTGTCTGCGGCAGCTGCTGCGGCTCATGGAGCTGCATGCGCGCTCCCGTGCTGCTGCTGTTCGTGCTGCAGTGCAGCAGCAACTTGAACGCTGGCTTGGCAGCGGGATTGTCTCGGAGTTATCTCTCGTGCTGCGGCGCTACAAGCCCCGCAGCAGCAGCCCCCAAGTCTTTCTTTTTGCTGCTGAGTGTTTGCTGTCAGTGCTGTCGCTGCTGCAGCAGCTGGGCGGTGCTGCTGCAGCAAGTGCTGCTGGCCTCAAGCTGCGGCGGCCCCACCGAGCAGCAGCAGCAGCAGCCACGGCCTTCTGGGACGAGCAGCAGCAGCAGCAGCAGCAGCAGCAGCAGACGCGAATCGTCACCGTCGACGACCTCCTCAGCGACTTCTTCAGAGGAGACATCATTCGAAACTGCATGTCCTTCGTGAGCATTTTTAGGGTTTAGGGTTTAGGGTTTAGGGTTTAGGGTTTAGGGTTTGGGGTTTGGGATTTAGGTCTTACGGTTTGGCATTTAGGGTTTAGGGGCCGAGACCTAGCTTGTTTGTGTCGAGCGAGGGTTTATAATTTAGTCGTAAAGTTTGGGGTTTAAGGTTTAGGGTTTAGGGTTTAGGGTTTAGGGTTTGAGGCCAAGGGTTTAGGGTTTATTAAAGCAGTTTGACTCAGCGGGTGTCCTGGCCCCCCTTACAAAACTGTCTCAAAGCCTTCCTCTGCCTGCCGCTGCCGCTGCTGCCGTTGCTGCTGCTGCTGCTGCTGCTGCTGCTGCTGCTGCCGCTGCTGCTGCTGCTGCTGCAGCTGAGCAGGTACCGCTCGAACCCCGTGTCAGTGAACGCGGGGGTGGTGGCGCTGCTGCAGGAGCTGCTGCAGTACAGAGGAAGGCCTCGAGAAAATGTTTGTGTCTTCTTCGACCTTCATTGCTTCCTCATCTTTCAGCAGCTGCTCAACGACCCCCAGGTGCCTGCTGCTGCTGCTGCTGCTGCTGCTGCTGCTGCTGCTGCTGCTGCTGCTGGTACTGCTGCTGCTGCTGTTGCTGCTGGTACTGCTGCTGCTGCTGTTGCAGACCAACGCAGCAGCCGTGCGTGTTTCGTTTGCTGCGGCTGGTGCTACGGTCCAGCGGAGCAGCAGAGCGCGTCTCCTTTGCTGCTGCTGCTGCTGCTGCTGCTGCTGCTGCTGCTGCTGCTACTGCCGCTGCTCCAGTCCAAAACAGCAGCATTTTACGTCTCCTTGCTGCTGTTGCGTTTACCGCTGCTGGTGCTGGTGCAGATTGGCGCTGCAGCCATGCATGCCACATTTGCTGCTTGGTTTCCTGCTGCTGCTGCTGCTGCTGCTGCTGCTGCGCAGGTGCTGCTGAGCCCCCGCCTGGCGTTCCTGGGCTCTTTTGCTGCTTCTGTTGTGAAGGAGTTTTTTTCTCTTTGGGACACAAATCGGCTGCTGCCGCTGGAGCTGCTTTTCAGCAAACAGAGGGGCCCCCCGCAGCAGGTTTGCTGCAGGGCATTGCCCGTGGCAGCAGGAGCGGACGCAGCAGACGGGGCCCCTGCAGCAGCAGCAGCAGCAGAAGCAGCAGCAGCAGCAGCAGCAGAGGAGGACGCAGCCATTACGCAGCAGGACTTTTGGTGTGCGGCCTCGCAGCCCGCGCTGCGGTCTCTTTGCAGCAACTACAGGCGGGGCACGGACGCCAAGGTGCAGCAGCAGCTGCAGCAGCAGCAGCAGCTGCAGCAGGAGCTGCAGCCCGAGGAGGCCCTCAAGGCTGCAGCCGACGAAGCAGCAGCAGCAAACGGAAGGTTCAGAGACGCAGCAGCAAAGGGCACATGGACCCACGAGGAAGACTGCATGCTGCTGCAGTTCTTCGAGCAATTCAGGGGAGTCAGAGACTACTACACCTACATTGCAGGTCAGCAGCAGCAGCAGCAGCAGCAGCAGCAGCAGCAGCAGCAGCAGCAGAAAATAAAGCCAAGCCACACCGGTGCAGCAGCACAAGCAGCTGCAGCAGCACCAGCTGCAGGGGCGGATCCAGCGGGAGCCCTTACACAGCCCCACGAGCCGCAGCAACAGCAGCGAAAAGGGCACAGCAGC